GCGATGCACTGGCGTTCTTATCGGCCTCAGCCACAGCCGGCACAGTCTGCTCAGGCCACACTCAGTACTCTAGTCCAGGGTCTAGTCATCTCATTTATCCGTTACTGCATCTGTTTGTACAGAACATGTAATGCTACTCAAACATTACGACTGCAGAAGCTGCTGGTTTTACGAGATCTCGAGTGGATGTCTGCTGACAACATGTTCTTATATCATACACTGACACTTCTGAAACGCATCCTGGAAAGATCCCAGCCGGAGTCGCTATCTGATCACCTCATCCATAGACGCCATGTTCACCATCGCACAACGAAGCAGGAGGATATGTTACATGTGTCGGTGATCAGATCCGAATCGGGAAGGAGGCGTTTTGTTTACTCCACCGTGACCGCCTACAACGCACTACCGCAGAATATTCGCGAGCTGAGCCTTCCACAATTCAAACGCGAGTTGCGTAGTCATATCCTGCAGCGGCGGATCAATAACGGATAGCGACGCCTACGTCAAATGACTTTAGCGAATGTGAGAGTGCGTTCTGCGTATGTGAGCCTGCGTGTGTACGTGTTTGCGCGAGCCTTCCTGACCTAGTGTTTTATTTCCATGACACGGGCTCTGTAATAGCCACATTCTGAGTGGAGTGAACTTATGACGTGTAATAAATAAATGCATAGATAAATAAATAGGAAGTGTAGCGGACATAACTATGTGTACGAATTTTCGCGCACGAATGTTTGTGAAATAAAACGGAGATTCGCGTACGAAGTTTTCTTGTACGGAGACCCTCAGTTTTAAAATGTGTGTACGTAGTATTGCGTAGAAATGAATTCGGTACAAGTGAGTGAGGCGCTAAGTTATGTCCAATAACGCCCGCTTCGTGATCAAACATGTGTTATCTGCTGCAACCAGTAGCGACCCATTCGTTGACGGCTTCTAATGAACGGTGCGTGTATGCATGGATAGATCGGCGCCTGCAATTAATGATGTCTGCATCGGTGGGTCTCACAAAACTTTACGTCCTTGTCCACCTGCGAATATCCTTTCCAAACTTGCTCATGTGCATGCGCGATTCCCTGACACCGTCCGTAAAACTTATCAGGGCTGTCAAGCATCAATGCGACCGAGAAAGACACGCATATGTACTCAATGGAGCGTCGCGGTGACGCATACGTGGAGGCAAGGATGCACTCATGCGGCTGACGGCTGAAACCATGCAGGTTGTCAGCACTGCGCGATCAAGGACATTCAGACTGTCAGCTGTAGAACAGCTGAAAGCGGCACGCTTTTCATCGCCGTTCCACATGGGGCTGGGAACAGAAAGCCGGCACGGCATGTGAATTCCAGCGGGGGCAAACACGCAGACAAAACGCGTGCCACGCTATGGGCGGCGCTGATAAATTAATGATGAAGAGCTGTCTCTGGTGGCGGGCGCTTACGAGCACACGCTCGCAATGCGCTTCACGCCAGGCGGTCTGATGGATTGGGCTTACGAACGGAGGCACGCACCACCGGCGACGCGAAGGCGTGGCCTGGGTGGAAGACGTTCGTCAGTTGTGCCGCCGAGGTCATGGCAGTCCGACCTGCTCCGGAGACCTGAGAGGCGCTGAGAGCTGGTGTGCTGAGTGGTTTGATCACCTGGGTGACCGCCGACCTCCTGACTACCCGACCGGTCCCCGCTGCTAGCCTCCGCTAGGTCTCCAGCGGCTAGCCCCATTCGGAGCCCTCTCCTTTCCGCGAGCATCTACCATTCGCGAAGGTAGGGGACCACCCCCACCGGAGACTTCCGAGAGCCGCTCTGACCCGCTCCTTACCAGACACCCTCTCCCGCCGCTGACATCGCCACCTCTCCCCGCCAGCAGCGGCATGCGCCGCACGCTGTCCACCGGCACGGGGGAGTCGGCCGCCGTCAGCTGGGCCCGCTTCGCCGGCAAGGCGCTGCTGTACGTTGGCTGCCTGGCCGCCTGCCTCTACCTGGGCTGGCACTCGGTCAGCGTCTACCTCTCCCAGCCGGTGCGCTCCAGCACCCGCATGGTTGGCGCGGGCGCGCCGAACCTAACGGTGTGCCCCGGCTGGGGGCTGGCGGCGCCGGCAGCGGCGCTACGGCTCCGCTGGCGCGCAGGCAACATCAGCCAGGCGGCGTTCGTGCGCGCGGCCGACCCTCCGCTGACGGCGGTTGTGGCGCGCTGCCACGCCGGCGGCCGCACCTGCTGCCAGCCGCGCTGCCAACCGGGCACTCTGGTGCTGGGCCGCTGGCGGCCGGTGCTGGTGATGGGCCAGGCGCGGCCGCTGCTCTGCCACAGACTGCAGCTGGACCGCGCCGCCGCCAAGCTCGTGCACCTCAACGGCGGCCTGGCGCTCGACTTCTACGTGCCGGCCGGCGCCACGCGCACCGGCAGCCTGTTCGAGGTGCTGGCGCACGACGGGCCGCGTCCAGTGCTGCGCTACGGCGTCGGCTCGCGCAGTCTGTCCACCTCGGCGGCACGCGACGCCGGCCGACCCAGCCACGTGGCCGTGGGCGTCGGCACCACGCACACGGAGAGCGTGTCGCGCCGGCGTCACCCGTGCAGCGTCGAGCCCGGCTACGACCAGCAGCGGTGCGAGATGGCGTGCGGTCACGCGGCGGCGGCGGCCGCCGCCGGCTGCCGCTCGCTCGGCGCCGACGGGCCGCCGCCGGCAGCGCCCCCCTGCGGCAGCGAGGCGGCGCTGCGCCGACTGTACGACCTCATGTACCGCTCGCCAGAGGAGGAGGCGCTGCAATGCCGCTGCCCGCGCGCATGCCGCGTCACCGCCTACAGTGGCACGGAGGAGCGCCGCTTCTACGAGGGCGCGCTGCTGCCCACCGTCAACGTGGTGATGGAGCCGAGGGCGAGTCTGGTGCGGGAGCAGCTGGCCTCGTCGCTGCAGCAGCTGGTGTCCGAGCTGGGCGGCCAGCTGGGCCTGCTGCTCGGCTGCTCCGCCTGGACGCTGGTCGACCTGCTGTGGCGCGGCCTCGGCTGGCTGTGTCGCTCGAGCCGCGCGGCGGCGCCGCTGCTCTCTGCGCGCCTCTCCATGTCACCGCGCGCCGCATTCGTCCGCTCCCGCCCCGCCGTCACCGTCCCACCGCCGGCGGGCGACCAGGCAGCGCAGTTCCAGCTCTGGCGCGAGGCGAAGCAGCCGTTCAGGAGCGGCGAGGAGCGGCCCGCCCAGAGAAGCCCCGGCGAGCGTCCGACCGTCACTATTATCCCGTGAGAGGGCGCTCCCTGCCAGTGCGCAGCGCCCTGTGCAGCAGACAGGCACGGAGCAAACGTGCCACACCCAGTCTCAAGCACAACTGCCGCTGCCAGTGCCAGACCGTGCCGAGAAAGCCGTAAGGACCACTGCACTACCCTGTATGTCATTTGCCGGTGGAATTAACATGGTATATACCAACTGGCATCTAGCAACTAGGACCAACTAGGCAAGGAATCTCTACCGGTCTAGGCTAGCCAGGATTTGCAGGGGACATCGCGTACAGATCAGTTGCTGCCTGTCGGCTAAGTGAAGAGCAGTCGTCTTTTTGCGGTTTAAGAACAGAAACCGACATGGTATGCAACATCATTTAACGACGTCTATAAAGCTGAGCCAGCACACCAAGGGCCTGACAACGCTTGCGCCATCACGATAACGACCAACGTGTCAGCTGCTAATCTTGGTCGTGGGAAAGAAATTGGCGGTGGTAGCCATACATGACATATATAACCGCGCTTAGACAGCAATGCACCGTCGGGGGTCGTGTTGACAATCAAGAGCTTAAATGGCGCCACCGCAGCACCATCGTCCCTGCACAATGGTGTCGTGTCAACATGGTTGTTACAGACCACCGCCGCCGCGTTATATGATCCATATTGCACGGAACTAATCACCGCCGCTCACCACGTTCACATGAACCTGGACTCATACACAGACAGCACACGAGCGCACGTGAAGACTCAGCCTCACCTCAAGAGGCTCACACGCAGCTGCATCTTGGGTTCTTTCATCTGCGACTCGCCGTGTAGTTCGGCCCTTATACGCACATTTCGTAGGTCTTGCTGCCCAGGACTAAAGCGATTTCGCAAGGCGCAGTCGACACAATACACTCTTTTAAGCTCAGGTGGCGATCGCGTGAACAGGAGCGATTAGTTGTAGGACGCTTTCAAATAGCACGTTCTTGCTTAGCACGACAGACGGCTGAGTGTTCTTGAAGTGTCCTGTCTGATGACGTCACGTGAGGAGCACTAGTTTCAATAAATGCTATACCGCAAACACATACAGCCTTTTACCTGGACATGATGGGGAGCCGGCGGTGAAAAAGAAAGAGATGCACTCCCTGTCACCAACTTCAAACCGTTAAGTCACGGGGAGAAAGGGAATGTCTATAGACAAGGACCGCATAACTTCAAAGAATCGGCGCTTATGTTAGCGGCCAGATCAAATTTCAACCGTGACTTTTCGGAAGCCCATAAGCCGTAGCAAAACGAGTTCTGTTACCCATATGTTCATGGCAACTATCACCGTCAGCGACTATGTTTTAATGCTTGTTGCATTCCACAACTAAAACCATAAATAATGATGTTTCACCCAATACCGGTAGGTACTTGCTTCGATACACGTCGGCGATTCAACAATCAAGTCGTAACTGGAACAATCCGCGACTGTTTCAGTGTAAAATTTATATCTAAGTAAAGGACAAAAAGGCGCCCGGATAGCACACCAAAGACAATCACCGAACAAAACGTTCATAGGGCGTCGTAGGTTCCTCAAGTATCCCAACGCACGTTGCAAACACATTCGTATCTATTCCGAAGATTGGTTTTGGCCTAAATGCACCACTGCTGCTCATGTCATAGCTTTGGTTTTATTCCATCGGTCCAATGGGGCATTTTAATGGCAGCCGATGCCCGCCGACAGACCGGTCACAAACTGCTTCAGCTGCCGCTGCGACTTCCTGACAGCATGCAGAAGCTGATACTGGATACTTACGCAACGTCAGCCAAACGCTCATGTCATCGCTGTCATTTATTCGTGTCAACTCCTCCACATATTTTAAAGCCGTCATCCCCCGCTAGAACGACCGTAGACTGTCCATGAAACGTAAAAAGAACGAGTCACGTGACCTGAGGTCCTCCGACCACACTGACTGCAGCCTACGTCATCATGACGTCACAGCTCTCACGTCACGCGGCCCGACACGCAGCGCTCCGTCCACGACTGACGTGCCGTCACCATGACGTCACCGTCAGCTGGCGTCGAGCGTTGTTCACAGCAGTCTCGTTAGCGCCGTCGAATCGGTCAGCTACTGGCAGAACACAGCGCGCCTGCTACGCAGACAGGCGCGCAAGGGTGCGTGTGGGGGAGGGGGAGGGGGATGAAACGGGGCGGTGGTGCGCATGGCGGGCATGACGCGGAGGTGACGAGAGCGGCGACCTGCTTTCAGCGGCCCCGCGGCCCGCGCGAGCGGGACCGGGCGCATGGGAAAACTCCGAAAAGGCCTGGACATCATGGGAGCGGGCACATCGCACGTGCATACACGCATACGCACACACCGGACAGCCGAAGAAGCAGTCGCAACACAATGAACACATGAGATTGCATATGTACCGATATCAGTATGAAAGGCACCCTCCCATAAGACACCAAGCTCAGTAGTATAGCCAACAACATGTTCACCACCGCTTCAATAAATAACAACACGCAGTCACTTCTGCCGCTGTCGCCACTTGCCGCTGCCGGCTGTCGGCTGTCGGCTGTCGGACCTGACCGATAGCTCGGCTGCCGCCCTGCTCACTCGTCGCCGCACACTATCACAGAGCCGCCGCCGGGCCGACAGGTGCGTCATCTATTTGTACACAGTTCTGGTAAGTTCTGGTTGACGGCGCGGCCGACAGGTGTCGGTAGACACGCACGGTCCGCGGCGTGGCGGACCGCCTGGCTCGCGGAGGGCTCATTCCGCGTCTGGCTTGGACGAGTCCCGACCCGGGGTAGGCGACTCATCGCCGTTGGTGTCTGCAAAGGCAATGCGATATCCCAAACACGTTAGAAGGGGTGTGATATCACCTACATGTTTAAAGTGATGACGGTATGCCCCGATTACAGTGCTAAAGTGGCGAGCACACACGTAATGCCGAGTTCCGATTTCATACGAATGTTTTACAACGAGGCTTGAGGATCAGATGCCTTGATAAGCGAAACTTACTTTGAAGACGCCAACCATAACGTTCAAGGGAGGCAACTCTATTCCGCTGGTCAATTGTTGATCACTAGTTCGAAGGTGTCGCAGCATGGTTTCCGTGGTCGTAACTGGCATAGTAGTAGGGCAATCAGGCAAGAAAAAACTTGGTAACGACCCAAATCAGTCCTGTACTGGACACTCAGCGATAAACTATACAAAAAACTCACCGGGGTCGTCGTCCTTCTGTATGCGAACTATATCTTCCTTGCCTACTTTGCGCTTGCGGCTTCCTTTGCTGAGACCAGTTTCATCTTCCGGTGCCTTACTATCGGCTGAAAACAAAAAGACCGGTTACAGGCGCATATAGCTTTACTGAACCCTTTCCCGGCATGCGGTATTCTGGAGCCACAGAAGACAAAACGTACAAACTCTTCTGAATTGCGTGTTAAAGGCTCTTACCGCTCTGGTCGCGTGGTGGCACCGGCAAAATATAGAACAATTCCTTGTCACACGAGCCACAGCATACAAGCAAAGCAAACGAACCGGCAAACCGGCGACTCCTAACCAACTGACCGAAAGTGAGCGCGTCCTTGCCAACGACCCACAGTAGCACCTGTCTGCCTGACGCATTTCACCCTACTTCCGACTGGTCGCCCTCCCTCCTCGGGCCACCCCGCCGTTCCCGCTGGTTCCGGCAGCGGCTGCCTCGCCAGCCCACGTGCCGAGAACGGAGGGGGTGGTTTGGGGGAGGGGCTCGGTCGTGCCCTGCTCACCGGAGGTCAGGTCGGCCGGGGGACCGCGCTTCTTGCCCCGCCGCGGCGGTGACCCGCGGGCCAGCCCCGGCGACCCCGCCTTCACGCGGGCGCCGCTGCAACAGACAGACGCGCTCGGTCACGGTCACAGACGGGGTCAGCGCGGTGGCGCACGCTGAAAGCGGGGGAGGGGGAGGGGCGCATAACGCCACGCGCATCAGTAAAGCGACTGATACAGCCTGACACAACTGGCACGAAAACAGCCGCTAGGGCTGTGAATTGTCACGATGCAGGTGGTGTGAAAATCCATGTGAAGCTACACATCTCTGAGAGCCCTACCAGTGAATGCATTCGACATCTTAGGATGTTTATTTTTCGCGAGAGGTTACCAGACAGAAGTTCCCCGATGTAACCCTTGCGCGCATATTCCACAGATGGCGTTGACTGAGCATCGCTTGGCGTATATTTGGCTATGTTTGGCCGTTACGGTCGACGACATCGACGGCTTTGCGATAATTAACGGCTTTGATGCTATTCACAGTCTTAGCGGGCGCACCGACCGCGTGGCCGGTAGCTGCGATCAGAGCGTCGCAAACACAAATATTCAGGATGGACTCTGGTCACAAGAGACTACGCATGAGTACTTTCCATGGGCAGATCTCCCAAGGCCAATGTGCTGTGTTCGATACCCGGTCCGTATAAGGTGACCCTGGCCGCTTTCCTGTCGATTACTACGAGGCGGACACTTACGAGATCGTTCAGCGATTTGTACACGATACGTCGGCCTACAACGTGCGGTTGATTTCGTCTCTTTGCCTGCCCCAATTGGCGGGATCTGACATCGATCAATAAAAACGCCGCCGTTGCGCTCGGCGGTCGTGACTGGCGGAGCACGCGGCCCTACTCTCGCCAGTGCGGCTGGCCGTCCTCCTGACAGTCTCTTGAAAAACGTGCCGGTCTCTTGTGCCCCCCCCCCCCCTCCACCCCACGACGCTAGGCCGTCGAGATCGGGGCTTGGTTTCAATCTGTGTCCTTTTTTGCACTGACCGATTTTTTCAGCTTCCAGCTTAATTGAGTGGGGATAGTGAAGGACGTTTCCCTGTTGCCGTAGTAGACGGAAGGATAGGACAGCGATTTGCCCACTACGTGAGGATAGTTTCAAACTGCGCTGTTGCATGAACACCATCCTGACCACACGTCTTGCCTTGCAAGTGCCTGAAATCGCACACACCACAAGTTCCAAAGACTACACTTTTTGCTGGAGACCCCATGCAACCGAGGCCGACAGTTGTAAAGATGCAATCATTTCTAAGGCGTGATGGCTGAGCCGAGCCGGGTCGTCCAAGTTAAAAACGTTCTCATAGTTGTAGTGAGACTTACCCGGCCCCGGGCATCGCCAACAAACAGCTGATTTAATCGCATCGCGGCGAGTGGTTCTCAGGTTTACAGTCTCACGTCACAACATACAGCGTTCCTAAGCCGCAGTGGAGCACGCGAGAACAATCTGCACATGAATCTCGCCTGACGGCCGCGTCACGTGTAAATAAGCAGGCTTCAGCGCCGTGGGGAGCGCGCGACGACAGCAGCTGGTGTGCGTGATCGCACCAATGAGACTGCGAGGGACGGGTAGATGGCAGCCCGTCCATCCCCCCTCCCCTCCCCCCCCCCCCCCTCCCCGGCGCTGCGAGCAATGACCGGAAGGATCGGACAGTAAGATTCTTGCTCAGGGAGAGTTGGCCGGACGTCTCGTCGACCCTCGTGTCCCTCCCTAAGCAACAGCTGGATCTGTCGGCCAATCGGAGACTCCGCAGCACAACCAAACGCCACTGCGGTACCGCCGCCCGGCCCACCGGTCCACCGCGAGGCAGGCGCGCAGGGACCCTGAGGCGGGCACCGGGTCGCGGCCGCCGACGGGTGATCTTACGGGGCGACAACGGCAGCGGCGGCGGCGGCGGCGACGACGACGGCAGCGCCCGGTCGGTCCGCCGGCCTGCCGTCCGCGACGGCAGCAGTGGCGGCGGCGGCGGCGGCTGAGGCTGAAGCTGAGGCTGAGGCGGCGGCGGCAGCAGACGAGGTGACGGTGGCAGCCGGCGGCTCGACAGCTCTGGAAACGAAGGTCTCGTCAACACATCATCACCAGGAAGAAAACGACCCTAAAACTCCTTCTCCCTGAGACCTCGCACAGAAAGCGTCAGTGAGCGATTTCGCTAGGGCTGCCAACTTCGGCAGCCTGGCCAGCCGCTATCACAGGGCCGTGACTGACTGCGGCACTTCGTCGATCTATCGGCCTCTGCTTGCCGAGGCCCTTGACCTAGTACTACTGGCACCGCGCGTGGTAGTCCGCTGCACGCGAGATAAGCAGCGACCCAGAACACAGCGGCGCATGGAAGCCGCACGATGATAACGACTCGAAAGTTGTCTGAAAGCGCTCGTGAACGGCATTAGGTGCACGCCGCCGCTCTGCAAAACTTCGCCACAGACCCGATGCGCAGACCCAGAGTTGGGTCCTAAAGTCACGCCCTCACTATTGTTGCCTTTTGACTATTGAGCCCAACAGAACAACGATGATCCTAACGCATTTCTGTGTGGCAACCGGAGCGCTAGCTAGTGCTATGGTGGAAATGAAGGCTTCCATTGTGTCCCCGAACAGATCTGCCATTTGGTAGGTAGGAACAGTCGCATTTTGGACGAAAACACCACCAAACAACCGAGTGCTTTTCAAACAACACACGCAAAAGCCTCACAAAAAGGAGTTTTGGGTAACGCAGCGCCATACTGCTCACGTAGTGAGAAGCTTGAACGGGTGGTAACGAACTCTTCACATCGATTCACAACCAGGGCGGGTGGGAGCCGTGATAGCATGTCTATTCAGACCACTCTGCACTACACAACGGCTCCCCTCTCATTCGCCCGGCCGCAGTACGCGGCCCTCCCTCGCGTCGCTGCAGCCGCGTGGGTGGGATTTCCCCGGCCTGCCACGTCACGTGACCGGCCGCGGCGCGCGCCGCGGCCGTGTGGGACAAACGGACGCTTTGTTGGTGCGGTCCGGACGGATCGTGTCGCCCTGGCTGAGTGGTGCTCGGTCGCCGGCGGGTGGCGAAGGTATTTGTCGGGGAAGGGTATCTGCCAGGGCAAGGTATCTGCCAGAGTGAAGTATCTGCCGGGAAGGGTATCTGCCGGGGTAGGTGTCTGCCGGAGAAGGGTATCTGCCAGGGTGGGGTATCTACCGGGTAGGGATATCTGACGGGCAAGGGTATCTGCCAGGGTGGGGTATCTACCGGGTAAGGAATCTGCCAGGGAAGGATATCTGCCGGGAGGGATATCTGCCAGGGAAGGGTATCTGCCGGGGTAGGGTATCTGCCATATAGGGTATCTGCCGGGGAAGGGTATCTGCCAGGGCCGGTGAAGGGTATCAGCTCGATATCTGCCAGGGAAGGGTATCTGCCGGGTAAGGTATCTGCCAGAGAAGGATATCTGCCAGGAGGGATACCTGCCAGGAGGGATATCTGCCAGGGAAGGGTAATCTGCCGGGCAAGGGTGCCTGCCGGGCAAGGGTACCTGCCGGGGAAGGGTATCTGCCGGGGTAGGGTATCTGCCGGGGTAGGGTATCTGCCGGGGAAGAGTACCTACCGGGTAGGGGTAATCATGCCAGGGAAGGGTATCTGCCGGGTAAGGGTACCTGCCGGGCAAGGGTACCTGCCGGGGAAGGGTATCTGCCGGGGAAGGGTATCTGCCGGGGTAGGGTATCTGCCGGGGTAGGGTATCTGCCGGGGAAGGGTACCTGCCGGATAGGGTATCTGTCAGGGAAGGGTATCTGCCGTGGTGGGGTATCTGCCGTGGCGGGGCATCTGCCGGGTTGGGTACTTGACGGGAAGGGTATCTGCCAGGGAAGGGTATTCACCGGGGTAGGGTATTTGCCGAGTATCCACCTGGAAAGGGTGTTCATCTGGAGGGATATTCACCCGGTTAGGGTTTCCGCCAGCGTACGTAGAATATCCGGTTGGGGCGGGTACCCGCCGGGGCAGAATACTCGCTTGGACAGGGTATCCGCCGGTGCAGAGTACCCCGCTGGAGCGGGTACCCGCCGGGGTAGAGTACTCGCTTGGACAGGGTAGCCGTCGGGGTAGAGTATCCGGTTGGAGCGGGTACCCGCCGGGGGACAGTATCCGGTTGGAGCGGGTACCCGTCGGGGTAGAGTACTTGCTCGGACAGGGTAGCCGCCGGGGTACAGTACTCGCTTGGAAAGGGTAGCCGCCGGGGTAGGACATCGGTCGGAGTACGGTGCCCGCCGGGTAGGGTATTCTCTGTCGTCGATTCTGGGAGGCTAAAACAACACTATATTACGGGACGTGGATTCTTGAAACAAAGAAAGGTGCGGGGATAATGCTTGGGCCGGGATGCAGTCATGCGCCGCGCGCGTGATTCAACGGATTCAACAAAGCAAAATCATCAACAACATCCCTTCTCTGGATAAGCACCAACTCTGAGCAATCAGGACTACAGCGCTCACCCCAGGCAAGGTCCCAAGATCCGGACAAACGGCAAGACGATGATGCCAGTGGCGCAGGCATGAAGTACTGCTCGGCCCATTACATCCATCGTGAGAGGACGGGCGGACTGAGGCCGTTCCGCACCCGTTGACAAACAGGGACGGGGCAGACAGCAGGCTGAATCAGCTCAAGTGGCTCTCCATCAACAACGGACAATGCTAGACAAACATTAGCAATGCTAGATAAACCACAGCACATAGCTCGGGTCACCAGAGCACTTCGTGGAGAGGAAATAAAATATGAAGCCGTCGCCCGCCCCCCGCCCCCCGTAAGAAACGCTTGGCTATCACATTTTGCCCATCCTGTCTCGCGATCCAATCTCTAGCCAAACATCTGCGCTGCACTGACTAGCGGGGTCTTGTATCCACCGCGACACCCCGTGCCGACAGGGCCCTTCGCTCGCGTGTGCCGCGCGCCGCCGGCTCACGCCAGGGTTCAGCGGCCTGGCCGCGGACCGGCGTCCCCTCCCCGCGCTCTCCCCCCGGGTCAGCTCGGAGAGCGAGGAAGCGGAAAGGAGCAGGGTCCGGCCGCCGGACGGGTGCCGCCGGAGCCGGCCCCAGAGGCGGCCGGCTGATGGGCTGAGGCACGGTCGGGGACTGGGAGGAGACCTGCCGACCCCAGGACGGGTGATGGGCTGAGGCACGGAGCAGCGCCCTCGGGGACTGGGAGGAGACCTGCCGACACCGGAGACGGCTTGATGGGCTGAGGTACGGAACAGCACCCTCGGGGACAGGGAGGAAACCTACCAACCCAGGGTCGGCTGATGGGCTGAGGCACGGAAGCAGCGCCCTCGGGGACAGGGAGGAGACCTGCCGACCCCAGGACGGGTGATGGGATGAGGTACGGAGCAGCGCCCTCGGGGACAGGGAGGAGACCTGCCGACCCCAGGACGGGTGATGGGATGGGATACGGAGCAGCGTCCTCGGGGACTGGGAGGAGACCTACCAACCCAGGACGGCAGATGGGCTGAGGTACGGAGCAGCGCCCTCGGGGACAGGGACCTGCCGACCCGGAGACAGCTGATGGGTTGGGGCACGGAGCAGAACACTTGGGAGTGGGGTTGGAAAGGGGGGGGGGGGTCAGCTGTCAGCATCGCGACTCCGGAAGGGGATGGCATCACGAGTCATCGCAACCAACGAGTCAGATCCAGTCACGCCAGTCACGAGTCAACACGAAAGCAAGTGATGAAGACCACATTTTTTTTGTAGAGAATACGGTCTCCAGAAGGCCATGGCAGAGCCAGCAAGAGCCAAGGGACCAAGCAAGGACAGCCAGGAACAGCACAGTCCAGTTCGTGTTCAACAACCGAAACCGAAAGGATGAAACGGCGCGGTGCAAAGGGTCATGCCGAAGATGATGCGTTGCTGGTGTACCGGACCGGCGAAGCACCACGCACTGGGAGAACAACGGGCGAAGTTTTTAGGAAGAATGCCGAAAACACCCCTTAGAGACGTCTGAAACGAGAGTGTCGCCGTGCGCTTCTTCTGGGCACATCGATCTATCAAATCAGCCACTGGGGCGACCGTCAGTGCTCACCACGTTCAAGTAGCTATCCTGATAATGGAATTTCACAAAATCAGCTCCATTTCACATGCTTTCTATTGAAAATCCCTGTAAAGGCTAATATTTACCTTCGCAGCGATCCTTGTGACCAGCTCCGTCTAGTCCCGACATTCTTTCATCTAATATAAACACTCAAACGGGCTGCAAAACGTCTGCTGGATTTACACCACGCTCAAGTCAAGACACCCCAAACATTGCAGTCTGAACGGCGCCGAGCCGACCCACGACATCACGCCCCGATCGCCTCCGATCAGACGTCCACGGCTCGACTCACCCGCGCGCTGCTGGCGGCGGCCGCAGCTCGGGCGACGCTGGCCTCCGAGCGTCCATCTCCTGGCGCAGACCCTCGCGACGGGCGGCACCCCCGTCCGCATCACTGTCCATCACCACCACTGCCGGCCGGAGCGGCACCGGCGGCGGCGGCGGCGGCGGCGGCACCGGCGGCGGCGGCGGCGGCGCCGACGGCGGGGAGCGCCGGCCGTGCGCGCCGGCGCCGCGCCGCTCGGCGTCCTCCTGCCGGTACACACTGTCGATGACGCGGCTGATCGTCTCGGACATGCCGATGGTGACCTCGACCACGCCGCTCCCGGCGGCGGCGTCCCCGGCGGCGGCCGGCTGCGCGGCCGGCGGCGGCTCGGCGCCGGCCAGCCGCGGGCTGGCGCTCTGCGGCCGCGCGCCCGGCGGGCCGTCGGGGCGCTGGCTCCTCTCGAACTGGTTGGTGAACCAGAGCCGCAGCGGGTCGCCCTGCCGGCCGCTGTCGCCTTGCGCCTTGGTCAGCATCTTCTCCACCACGTTGTCCACGATGCGCGAGAGCCGCACCTCGGTGGTGGGAGACGTGGTCAGGTTGAGCGGCTCCATGTCGTCGGTTTGTCGGTGGCGGGCGCCGTTGAAGCCGTTGGCGGCCGGCGGCGCCGAGTCGCCGGTCCGCGGCAGCGCACGATTCGTGAGGTCGCCGGCAGGCGGCGCGGACACCTGCCGGAGGCGGGGGACTCGTGAGCCGGCTGCGCAGACCGTGAGACGTGCTGTACGGCTCAGTCACGCCGGCGGTGCGATCGGGAGGCACAGATTGGTCAGCCATCGACGGGTGCGTGCGGTGAAGGGAAATTGCGACGCGTGTTACGCGAGTTGAGCATCGTTGTGGCATGCCAATGCAGAACAAAACATAAAAAAACAGCTGTTTGAAAGCCACGGACAGAAACGCTACCGTGCTTACACATCTAACAAACTAGGAGTTTTCATGTGCCGCACCACCTAAGCAGCTGTTGCAGCACAAGCAACCAATAAAAATACCCCGGGATCAGCCTTCGCTGTTGTGGGTGGGGCGAGCACACCACACACCCTGTGAAGTGCGGTGGGCGAGCACACCACACACTATGTGTAGTGTGCTGGATTAGCACAGCACACTCTGTGTAGTGTGCTGGACGGGCACACCACACACTCCGTGTAGTGTGCTGGACGAGCACACCACACACTCCGTGTAGTGTGCTGGACGAGCACACCACACTCCGTGTAGTGTGCTGGACGAGCACACCACACACCCGCGCAGTATGCTGGACGAGCGCAACCACGCACCCCGTGTAGTGTGCTGGACGAGCACACCACACACTCCGTGTAGTGTCCTGGACGAGCGCACCGCGCACCCCGTTTAGTGTGCTGGACGAGCACACCGCACGGCCAGCTTCGCGCTCCCCGGCCGCGGCGGGCGCGGGCAGGTCAGCCGGCGGTCAGTTCGGGGCACGAGGACGGCAACCCCTACCCTCGGAATCCTTCCTGAACTGGGATCGGATTGAGGTTAAAATCTGGCGGCCGGCTGGGGGCGCTCGATCTATCCGCATTCGCCCAAGCGGCCGTCTGCCGACGGCCCACATTCCTGGCGGCACCAGGCTCTGCCGGCCGTAGTACCGTTCCGCGGGAATAAGCGCTGGTCTAACCGGTCCATTCCGGTCGTTTTCCGGCGTTTCTCGCCGTCCCGCGGGCAACGGTTCGCGGCGGGACGGCTGCATTGGAGCGTGTGGCGGAGGGCAATAGTGGTCACTGCCGGTGCCGGCGACCTGTACCGCACCGAGGCGACCAGCACCCGTTTCGGGGGCGCGCAAACTGCGGTGCCTCTTCCGTCGTTGCGGCACATGGCCGGGCGCCAGCTAACAACAGGGGACAGCTTGTTGCTGCATCGTGTTATGGGCGGCCACGGCGGGTGCCGCGCGGCCTCGGCCTGCAGATGCGCACCATCACAGATATGGCAGCTCGGTAATGTGCGTAACGACGCAGTGTCGCTCGAAATTGCAAAGCTCCCAACGAAGCTTACGAGCGCTTGACGGCAAGTTGTACGCTAGTTAGCCTGAGTCACAAGAAAGCGTTACAAGAGATAAGAAGCAAAAACTTGTTGGGATTTGAAATCGGGAAGACAAATGTGCGTCGCTTGCCGAAGACAGTATCTGTGCGACAGCTGGTGACTTCTACAACCTCATAGAGGTTGTAGAAGTCACCGGTTGTATGGGGTAGTGAGGTTGTAGTCAACGGTTGTATAAGTATGAGGTTGTGGTAGTAGATCCCGGTGACTTCTACAACCTGAGGCTGTAGAAGTCACAGGGTTCAACACATTCAACATCTGGAGGCGACTTCAACACCTCTAACGGACACCACGGCGTCTCAAATGATATCGGCAAAGCAGGTAAACAACGCCATACCAACTTAAAGCGCTGACAAGACCACAAGATAGAGATCACATCCACTGAAAATCGCATTTCCGCGGGAAATGGCTGATCGCCGGTATAGCCCAGCCTCAGCCTGAGCACGGGTCAGGCACGCCCGTCCTGCGCCGGTCATCTCGGCCGTGCACCCACTCCAGTCTTCCGGGGTTTGTGCGCGCTCTGTCGGTCTTCCAGCCGACGCCAGCCGGCGATCGATACAAGGCGAGCCCGCGGCGTGCAAACACGGCAGGCACTGATCCCGAGGCAACCCGGAGCCGGGACAGCGGTGGGGCAACGGCAGGTCAGCAGGCCCGCATCAGGGGTGACGGCAGGTCCGACGCTGTGCCCCCGGAACCGGGACAGCGGTGGGGACAACGGCGGGTCAGCAGGCCCGCATCAGGGGTGACGCTGCGCCCCCGGAGCCGGGACAGCGGTGGGGACAACGGCGGGTCAGCAGGCCCGCATCAGGGGTGACGCTGCGCCCCCGGAGCCGGGACAGCGGTGGGGACAACGGCGGGTCAGCAGGCCCGCATCAGGGGTGACGCTGCGCCCCCGGAGCCGGGACAGCGGTGGGGACAACGGCGGGTCAGCAGGACCGCATCAGGGGTGACGCTGCGCCCCCGGAGCCGGGACAAGCGGTGGGGACAACGGCCGGACGGCAGGCCCGCATCAGGGGCAGCGGTAGGGCTGACGCTGTGCCCCCGGTACAGGGACGCGGCGTGGCCACTACAATCCCCTGCTAGGAGTCGCCGCCAGGTCTACATGGATTGGTAGGAGGTTCGAATAGATGGTGGCAAGACCCGGATAACGGCTGCAGTGCCAGGACAACGCTTCAGAAAGTTCTGAGAATAGAAGAGCCCCATCAATATGGGGAATAAGATAGGAGCACACGCGGGCAGGCTCGAGGTGAGCACGGAAAGGTCCGGACGAAGGGTCGAGGGGTCCAGACCACTACACTTACGGGCGGAGAGGCCTGAAAATGCGCTGTGGCCCTACGAAAACACAGGATATGCGCGAAATACATGCGTCAACTCGTGAGCTTGAGTCCAATTCAAAATATGAGTAATGTTGTCTTCTATCTCAACTACCCGTGAATTCTACACCAAACCATCTAATTGACAATATATGGTAAGCTACCAAAAACAACATTTAAAGTTGAACTTGAATGAAAAACGCAGAGTTCAGTTTAAGCTCCGGTTTATTAAACGTTTAAGTCCAGTTTAAAACTGCTTGTGTCTACTTGCTCTCGTGTCCAACTTGAGTTCGAGTATGAGCAAGAGTGGTGACAGTGGTGAAAGCGGTGAGAGAGGGAGCCCCATTCGCCTGTAAGATACGTCGTCGTGGGTCTGAAGCTGAGCCAGATCCTGGACGGACACTGAACTATGCTTGACGACGAGAGGACACTGACGGGATGGCGATGACGAGAAGACGAGGACGAGGGCAAGGACGAGAGGATGAAAACGAGAACGAGAACGAGAGGACAAAATCGAGAACGAAAGGAAGAGAAAACGAGATAACGAGATAACGGGAGGACGAACACAGGGACAAGAATGAGATGACTAGAACGAGAGGTCGAGGACGAGGGCGAGGACGAGGACGAGGACGAAGACGAGAAGACCAGAACGAGGGGGCGAGAACGAGAGGACGAGAACGAGAGGACGAGAACAAGAGGACGATAACAAGAGGACGAGAACAAGAGGACGAGAACGAGAAGACCAGAACGAGGGGACGAGAATGAGAGGATAAGAACGAGACGACGGGAACGAGAGGACAAGGACGAGCCCGAGAGGGCGAGAATGAGAGGACAAAGACGAGAACAAAATGATGAGAACAAAAGGACGAGAACGAGAGGACGAGAACGAGAGGACGAGGACGAGAGGACGAGGACGAGAGAACGAGAATGAGAGGACGAGAACGAGGGGATGAGAACGAGAGGAAGCAAATGAGGGGACGAAAACGAGAGCAATAGCGGGCAAGAACATCGCATATCTATAATAATAATACAAAATGGTGGTAAACGGTTACAATGTCACAGTCAGCACTTCGGCGCCAATAAGTTAAGTCTAGAGAGAGTGTTGGGGTCAAGAGATACTGCAGCAGACAGGTCAGGCCCTGATACCAATGGTCCGAGACTCCGGGCACCGCCAAACAGAAGGGCGCGCGCTCTACCGTCTGAGCAGGGGCAGCGCAGATCACGGCCACCAGCCGGCACACCTGCTGGCACGGCCGCTGGGCTGCGTCTGGCCGCCCCCGCCGAGCTCTGTTCGCTCCGCGCCGGTGCACTGCGGTCCACGCAGGGGCGTTGAGTGGACAGCCAGCGGTGGGGAACAGTCATGGGATGGGGCAGCACATGAGTAACCGTGCTTAACTGTGAGCGCATCATCCGTTTTCTGCTGTCGTTGGCAAGACGTCAGCCTCCGAGTCAGCGCACAGCGACGCCGACGAGATGCCACAGGACTCGGTTGCAATGACAGCTGGTCAGGCGGCTCAGGGCGAATGTCGGTTGATGCGTAAGAGGCTGCACGCAATAGAGACAATGCCCCCTGGCAATCAAATGTAAAAAAACCTATAAGTTCACCAAAGTTCGGGAAATCCGAGCCTTTTGGCTGAAATAAGTTTTTCCAATAATCAACGAAAGCCACGCCCCATCGAATTATGAAAAAAACAGGACAGCAAACTAGAAAAGTAGGAAACCAGAAAATAAAAGCTGCAGAGCGAAGTTTTCAAAACGCAAATGTGGATACCCGCCCTGAACGTCGGGCGGCTGATGGCGCATCGAGGTCCCTGGGGAGACCAATCAGAAGACCAGCAGCGACACAGCGCTCGGCAAGCCTAGTCTTGACGAGTGAAGCGCTAGGGCAAAGACGACCAGGGGGAGGACACTGAAGCAGCGGCCACCGAGGTGCTTAAGATCAGCTTGCCTGATTTTGACCTGGGAAAGTCAGATGTCACTATGATTCGCCATTTGCCGCGGAAAGATTCGTTGATTCGAGCATTCGCTCACAAACAGAACATGAGAAATTGACTACGTTCCTGAGCGATCCGCTCGCGGAGGCTGAAGGCGAGACCTAAGCAAAGCTGCTCGCGTAAAAGAAAACCGAAATATCTGGTCCGGCCGAGGCCGTAACAGGATTCCTGAGTTCAAGCGGGCGAGGGGCCCGCCCCCGGTCAGGGCGTTCTGCGTGGACCATATGCGCCGGCTCACGCGAGCTGGAGCCGCCTCTGCGTCCGCCCCGAGGCCTGAGGTGACCGGCGGGAAGATGGACGGCGCAGGCACCGGTCTCCAGCGGCTGCCGGCCCCGCCCCTCTCCGCGGCCGCCCGACGGCCCTTGGCCCACACGGGAGGGGAGCTGCACCTGCCGGCGGGGCGGCGGCGGCCGCCCCGCCGGCCTCCAGGTCAAGGTCGGCCGAGGTCACGCCGGTTAACATGTCAAGATCGGTCAGCTCAGACTGAGGCGCGAGCAGCGACACCTGAACTGCTCACCCTCCGACAGCACGTCAGCCAGTGTCAACGTCAGTCTTCGTGCGGCTCGGAGGACAATGTCAGTCTCCAGGGCGGTGGACTGCATTTCTGTCACTGCCCATACAATGGACTTTTTCAAAGTTTTCTTTCCTTTTTGAAGACCAGCAGAAGTTTTCGACGCGATGAGAAGGCGTGGTTCCGGAGCTCAGCTAAATATGTGGGTTAATTTTGCCTAGTCGTAGCGGCAGCCATACCCAAGAAATCAACTCCATTTTTCCGACACAAAGCTAGATCAAAGTCGAGTACGTAAAAAGAAAATCGTGACAAAAAAGGAAGAAAACCTTGCAGGCCGCTGTTTTCTGTCCCAGGCTCCGCCCCGGCGTTGAGCGTTTGATACTGAGCTTCTTTCATCCTGCTGCACGTGTTTACGTAGCTTTCCTTTCGAGCCTGTGCGCGTTCTACTTTGATTGTTTACTTACGTCTGCTATTTGCTCTCATGTGCGGTACGGAGTGTGATGAGCTACAGATTAGGCCACGTAGATGATATTGTCGATACTCACAAAAAACATGCATAGATACGCATTATGTGTTGCTTTGGTGTAAAAATCATGATCATTGCCCGATGCTTACCATCATCATGCTGAGCATTGACGACGCAATGGGCAGCAACGACGGGCAGCAATGATGGGCAGCAACGACGGGCGGAGCTGGTTCCGAAAAACTGAGGCTTTTACGTGATTGAAGGCCCATCATTGCGATATGGCCTTCTTTGCAGGCGGTCCACTGCACTGGTTCCGTACGGCATACCCTTCCACGGGAATGGGGAAGTGTCTGCTATTTTTGTAACGGTACCAACAACAATAAAATCTGCATTCTTTTTAACGGGGACTGGATTTAAAAGTGAAGGAAATTTCCAAGGATGAAGGCAGGCAGCTATTTTGAGCACTGTCACTGCAGCCAACTCAATTCTTGGAGGTTTATATTTATAGCTGTGAATCTTATTTATCCACGTAATGGCCGCAGAAGGCGATCCTTCACACCTAGATTAGGGAGAAAAAAACAGTTCACCATAAATAAGCTTGTTATGGACTATTTGCTGCCCTAGCAGACATGAGATTCAGTAGTGATACGCATGGATGCCGATTAGCGATGGTTTATGCGAAAATACAGACCTAGGACATAATTTTGGCCGGTGACTTTAATGTGTTTAACAAAAAACACAGATCAAAACCGAGACTGGCAAGTCAGAGGGAAGTACGTAACTACTGTAAACGTAGAAGCGAGGCGTTAAAGGAAAACTTAGAACTCATTTGCAGGAAGTGTGACAACTATGACCCCAAAAAGGAAATGATCAGAGGTACGTTGAAAACTTTAACCTATTAGCCTTCTGCCTGTAACCAATAAAATTCTGGCAGGCAATGGCTTTACGGTTTAAAAAGCTGGAAACAGTTTGATCCATTCAGACGAGACTGGTGTCCTCAAAGATCGATGCATTGATAAAAACATCAAATTTGCTCTGGAGCGACTGGAGTGCAGAGAGCGCAGTAAAACAAAACCATTTCTTGCTCGATGCAATTTGTTTAAAGCTGCACAAGCTGGATGTGTGCGAACATGATTTTCAGAGCATCAGGTCTCGGGCCTTACTTCCGACGATTGCTGTCTGTTTTTTACCCTCCTCGAGCGCACAGCGCGTGAATATATTCCGATAATTTCATGCTCCGGAGCTCCAGATCCAAGGCGGAACACGACAAGGATGCCCACCAAACTGTCTGACTTGGACACAAGAAGGATGCCCACCAAGCTGTCTGACTTGGACACTACGCATTGAGCCGCTGCTGAGAAAAATTGGGACAGAGACGCTATCCGGGTTGTTTTCCGTTTTTTCAGAGACGCTATGTTTTCCGATGCTTAGATCAATTCATCAGCCTATGCTAATGACTTGACGGTGATTTTAGACGGGTCGAAGGACACGATGACAAATGCGGTAACCGTGCTGAATGAGCTTCAAGCAGAAGCTGGACCCAAGCTAAACTTTGCAGAAACTGCCAGTGCGTGAATCTGTTGTTTTTGGATCGTCGGATCGGTTGATTGTTTTTGTTGACGGCCAAGCCGTTCAGAGGAAAATAAAGGAAAAATTAGAGCGACAGGCATTTACGTGTGCGAGTTGGGTGACAAAGCAGAGAACGCAACAAAGGCGCGGGCGCTGGGTGCTCGCGCCCGTCTCCGCCACGGTTCGCCGGCGTACCACCGGCGGACCACTGACGGACCACCGGCGGACCACCGGCGGACCACCGGCTGATCACTAGCGGACCACCGGCGGATCACCGGCGGATCACCGGCTGATCACTGGCGGATCCTGGCGGACCACCAGCGAACCACTGACGGACCACCAACGGACCACTGGCGAACCACTGACGAACCACCAGCGGATCACCGGCGGACCACCGGCCGATCACTGGCGGATCCTGGCGGACCGCAGGCGAACCACTGGCGGACCATCGGTGGGCCACTGACGGACCACCGGCGGACCACCGGCGGACCACCGACTGATCACTGGCGGATCCTGGTGGACCGCAGGTGAACCACTGACGGACCATCGACGAACCACTGACGGACCACTGACGGACTACCGGCGGACCACCGGCGGATCACTCGGCGGATCTTGGCGGACCGCAGGTGAACCACTGACGGACCACCAGCGGAATCACCGGCGAACCACCGGCCGATCACTGGCGGATCTTGGCGGACCGCAAGCGAAGCCACTGACGGACCACCGGCGGACCACCGGCGGACCACCGGTGGATCCTGGCGGACCGCAGGCGAACCACTGACGGACCCACCGGCAGCCACTGACGGACCACCGGCGACCACCGGCGGATCCTGGGGGAACGCAGGCGAACCACTGACGGACCACCGGCGGACCCTAGCGGACCACCGGCGGCCCACCCACCTCCCGCGGCGCTAGGGCTGCCGCCACTGGGCGCCGTCTCGCGCGGCCCTGACTCTGCCCCTCCCCCCACCGCCGGGGGTGCCGACAGAGCCTCGGGGGGCGCTGGGCGCAGGTCGGCGGCCGGTGGCGTAACCCTGCGGGGCTGCCAGCGCCGGCCGGAAACGGCGTGTCGCCGCCTTGATCACGTCAACCCGCCGGGGTCGTGAGGTCCGCACGGGGATCAACACCGGTGACCTTCGTTCCAGGGAGATCTGTTGGAAACTTGGCCGCCGATTGAGATATGTGAGCGCTAATTGCTGACATCACTGCGATAGTTTAAGCCGTGGTGGAAAAAGTCGCGAATCTGTTCGATCATTGCCGGCTCAATCGATCGCCTTCCCCAAAATTCACGGGCCCGCAGTCTCGAGCATTCTCACGGTGGGAAAGCTAGCCTCTTCGACGCACGCCGTCCCTCCCACCCGGATCCGACCCCATCGCGCCACGCACGGACCACGCTCGACCAATCACCGCGCCGCCCGTCCGACGAAAACAGAGCCGTCCCCGTCCGCCGGCCACCAGCCGAGGCGCACCGCGCGGCGGCGGCAATGCACACCGCGTCTTTGTCCGCGGCTTCCAGAGGACGCCGGGGCATAGGTGCGACGGGCGGCCGGCGGCCGGCGGGGCGCTGACCGGGCCGAATACGGTCCGGCCAAGGCCGCCGCATCCCGAGCAGCACGTCGGGCCGCGTGCCGGGTCGCGCCGGCCGCGTCGCACCCGGCACACCCTGCGGCTCCGGCCGGCCGTCGCAGCTACGGTCGCGCGTGACGTTACAGTTACCGGTGCGGCATTTGCTGCGGCCGGCCAGTCGAAGCCCGCTTCGGCGGCCGCAGCCGCCGCGCCTCGAGCCACCGCCGCCTCGAGACACCGTCACCTCAGCAACACCGCACCTCCGAAATGGCAGTGCTTCCGGTTCAACGGGAGCAAGTGCTCGAGTTGATTGCACATCACTGGCAGCCAGGGGTTTCTCTGAACAGGATTTTGTGCAGGCCAACGGGTAAGAGCAGAACGGTGCGCAATCAAGACAGCTAGCGCCGGCCTTGGCCTGTCGACCGGAGGCGGCCGGCGCTCTTGCCGGGGTCTTACCTCTGTCAGCCCCCCGAGTCGGGGCGGATTCTCCATAAGGTAGCGCTTCTTGGGCGGCCGCGGCGGCAGAGGCGACATAGTGGCCACGGGCTGGACGGCGGCGGCCGGACGGCTGCTGACCACAACTCCCTGCCGGCCCATCGGAGCATCTGCCCGACACACACAGCAGATGTTAGAGACGAACCAGGGACCGCTGCTGACCACGACTCCCTGCCAGCCCATCGGAGCATCTGCCCGACACACACACAACATATGTTAGAGACGGACCAGGGAGCCGCTCCTAACCACAACTCCCTGCCGGCCCATCGGAGCATCTGCCCGACACACACACAACAGATGCTAGAGACGACCAGAGACGGCTGCTGACCACAACTCCCCGCCGGCCCATCGGAGCATCTGCCCAACACACACACACAACAGATGTTAGAGACGGACCAGAGACGGCTGCTGACCACAACTTCCCGCCGGCCATCAGAGCATCTGCCCGACACACACACAGCACATGTACGAGACGGACCAGGGACGGCTGCTGACCACAACTCCCTGCCGGCCCATCGGAGCATCTGCCCGACACACACACAGCAGATGTTAGAGACGACCAGGGACGGCTGCTGACCACAACTCCCCGCCGGCCCATCGGAGCATCTGCCCGACACACACACAGCACATGTACGAGACGGACCAAGGACGGCTGCTGACCACAACTCCCTGTCGGCCATCAGAGCATCTGCCCAACACACACGCCACATGTCAGATGGATCACACAATCGTGAGAGCAAGATGGGACACCACATGGTAACACGGATATCCACATGGTAATACGGATGAACGCAGCGTGACACGGCACCAAAGCACACAGCACACATCAGACCAGTGGGGCGCGGGTGCGGAACACGGCACATCGCAGCGACGCAGTGAACAGCGGGTGCCAGATGTCAGGACCTGATCACAGAAAGGGCAACACAGTAGGACGAGCCACAGCACACGCACGTGAGTCGACCGTGATGCTACGCGGGGCCTTGGGACGGGCCGATTGCGCTGGTTATGCGGCGCCCAGGAGCGTGTCAGAAGTGCCGGATCAACACCAGACAGGGACACAGCGCTTCACACAGCGCATCGCAGGGGGGAGGGGACACAGCGCATCACAGTGCACAGCAGGCTTGCCAGAAAGCAGTCCGATTGGCAGCAAGGAGACAGCACAGACATCGGAAGAAACAAAACAGTCGGATGTACAACGTGCAGATAGAGCGGGCGCAGTGCTCTGCGGAATCAAGAGCGGTCAAAATAGCATCGCGTCCGAAATTTCGCTCAAAGGTTTTATGCAGGCTTTTCACCCGCTCAGTCCAAAAACAATGAATTTGGACACGACGGATGAGTGGATGCCAAAACTACTAACTGTGACTAAGACACATGTTCAGTGGGTTGGCTTATGATGACATAATGCCTTCTGTTTCTGATAAAAGCTTCGCTCCAGTCGTCACGTACACAAACGCTCAACGAACTGTTTTACACCAACGCAGCGCAATAACACTGGAAGTGCTCTAAAGTGTTCCAGTTGCCCTCAAATCAGTGAATCTATTTGGAGCGCCATGCACTGCACGAGTGGATATTACCCAGTGATTGGCTCACTGTGAGTACCGTTTTAGAGCTGCTACTCATGCAACAGCCCATTAAAATAGCTTTGCTGAACGATGGGGAGGCTCGCAGCAGAGGGCCGCCGACCAACGCCGCTGACACGGTCCAGCGGCGGCGACCCGCTGGCGGACGCGCACCCACCAGAGGGCTGACCTGCGCCTCTCGCCACCCCCGCTCCCCTGGTGGGCGGGAGCTGGCGCGCCCAGCCACCGCGTCCGGTCGCGCCCACAGGTCGAGGGTGATTGGGTCAGAGATGTCTGGCGGATCAGAGCGATGCGTCAGAGCAGCCCAAAGGTCAGGCTGGTCACGGGAAGGGCTTTGAGGGGTCGGAATGATCAGTGGGTCAGGGTGATTATGATGACCAGTGTGGCTGCAGCCGCCCGAGCGGCTACAGACGTAAGCTAGGTTAGAAAGGTCAAAGGGCTCGCGCGTGCCAGAATGGCGAGTGAGATCAAAGGGGGTCGAGGCGTCAGAGTGACCTGAAAGGACGGAATCGTCAGAGGGACGGTCGGAAGGCCACGGGGCCGGAGAGGTCCGCACGGCAGGCGAGATCAGACGTGTCAGCAGACCAGCGACCAGGGGGACATGAGAGCCCGACCGGGGGGCCCTTACGCCCCCCTGGCCGGGCCCTCCCGCCCACCGGCCCCCGTCGGCGGCCGCTCTCACCAGCTGAGGGGCGAGACGAGTCTCTGTCAGCCGGGGCGGCCAGCAGGGCGGGCGCGGCGGCGGCGGCGGCGGCGGCGGCGGCGGCGGCGCCCGGCGGCAGGCCCCTCGCAGCCGAGCCGTGGCGCGCTGGAACGAGGCGCGCCGTCAGCTGAGTGTCGAGCGGCGCCACTTCCGGCGACGCGCGCCGTTCCCACGCACCGCGCCCGAGCCCGGACCCGGGCCCGGGCACTGCACGCACCGGCCAGACGGGTCGGTCCGCCAGGCGCCGGGATCGGCCACGGACGGCGCGCTTTCCCGGCACGATCGCGGCGGTGATTTGGGACTGGTGTACAGGTTCAGTTTAGATGTGGCGATAGGGTCGGTGTCTGTGTGCCGGCAACATGCGAGCAGACGCCTTGCCGACCGTGTGATGACGGGAAGGACTAGCAATCAGCTGATTGCCAGCATCGTGACCCAGCGGATTTGTCAGCGGCGGACGTACAGACCGCCGTCGCAGGCTGACTCGACTGCCGTGCTGAGAAGCCCCACAGGTAAAGCCCATGACACGTGGCGTAGCGCCAACACCGGTCCCCCTGTCTGACCCGGCGGTTTGAGGCTGCTCACCAGGGGACCCCTGCCGGCTTCCGGTTCCGAGCGGGCCCCGCCGCCGCGGCGCCGGCTGCCGGCCGCCCCGCCGCACTGACCGGTGACGTCAGCGAACGGCGGGCGCCGTCCGGTGGCCGGCGCCGAAGCCAGAGCCGGCCGCGCGCGCCGGCGAAACAGGAAGCGGCCGGCGGGCGGCCGGGCGGCGCGGCATGCTGTGCAAATGAGGCCCGGCCGGCGCAGACGGCCGCCGTTGCGGTCACGCACCGGGAGATGGCAGCACGGGCGCGAGCCGCCACGCGGTCGCAGCAAGACCGTGCGGTGGTTAGGGAGGCCAGGCCCGGAGTCAGCCGTCGGGAATGCGGGTGTGAAATAGGATGGTAATTGCTACCTTATTTATCAGCGCCTGTAATTGCCGAGGTCATTAGCGCGTGAGGTACGGAGGGAGTGTGCTGTTGGTGGTCAAATGCTTATAAGAATGTACCCCTGTCGTTACAGACTAAAACGGATCGGTCATGTCGTTCGGTGCACGGCAGAGGCCATTTTCAGCGAGTCTACTGCGTGAGTGTGGGGTGGAGCGATCTGGTAGCTACAGGAACCGGTTCATCTCTACTGCACCCATTGGAATTCAAAAACGTGTAACGGAATAATAAATGCTCCCAAATAATGCATACAGAAATGGTGCCGAAGCATGCCGGGCCCACCAAGGACACACTCCGCAACTTGTTCATGGTTGGTATTCCTGGGTGCTTCCTGACCGACTGCATAACAGCTCTGGCAGCGGCAGCGACACCAACTCTCTCCGCAGTCTAATTTTAATACGTTGCTATCGGGAATGCTCGCTCCGGCAGCCCGGCCACATCAGTACGATCTATCCGCTATCGACAGGCGTGTCTGCATTCCGAAAAGAGGTCAATTTTCCATCGGTTTGCCATACATCTGACGCAAGATACTCTCATACTGCATGGGTTAGGGACGCCGCATTAAAAAGGCGGCTGATTAAACAAATGTGTTAAGCAGTGTAGCTTTTATACTGCAGTACGGTATGAGAGGTCAAAGGAAATTGTTCGATAACAATTTCGAACTACAATGAGTTAAACAAACTTATTCGACGGGAGCGGAACTGACTTCGACTCCGACTCGGAGCAGCCAAGAGCAATTATGAGTTCACTCTGATGGAGCCGATTCCAATGACGACAGCTTGGGTCTGACGAATTCTATGAGCTCCATTAAGCATACAAAATATAAGCATTTCACAAATAAGACATAATGTTTGTGTGTGGGGGCTTGTGTGCGCGTAGTTACATTGTTCTACACACAAAAGCCGCGAGAATGAGGATACATGTCGTCTTTTCCTTCCAATCTCACTCAACCATGATGAATCTAGTTGACTCGGCTCTTCACCTCCGCTCCGCTCTAACGTATACACTTTGAACTGAATCGATTTCACCGAGACTCAACACCAGTCTGATTTATTTTGGAACCGGCCCCGGCCCTAGCCGTGGTCCAGCTTCAGCTGGATTGCACTGCAGGACAAGACGGGTTGCGGCCGACTGCGGTTACAGATGTGTTCTGCACGGTCAGTAACAGGCAGACGCCGTTGGTTCAAACCACCAAGATGTTCGCGTTTTTCGCGGAAAGGTAACTATGCAGGGCGCTTACGAAAGAGGAAAAACTCACTCGTAGACATTTTACCATAGGGACATGAAACCACCTTGATATTTCCAACTGTTGCCACTCAGCTTATAATAACAGACAGGAGCTACGCTGGAACGCATTTGGGTAATCTGCATGTAAAAAGCAAACGCGAAAATGAGCTAGTCACACGTGCAAACTCCTTATCATTTAAACAGCAATATGTGTGAATGCAAAAGAGACTGGTACACGACGTCTCTGCCATACTTTGGACTTCCGTTAAAAATACGTCAAATCACGCTGCAGCTTTTTATTCGATTGGGGAGGTGGGATGAAGTCCTACAAAATTGAAAGAAAGGTGGTCAAAATCCGGGTGAAAACAGTTGTTTCTTGTGCTTTGAATGCATTTTTAGTCATCTTCCCTGTCAACCCTCCCCCTCCTCCACACTCATTATGCAAAACTTCCCCTGCGTCAAGTCAATCTTAACAAAGAATCCTTTAAACACTACGCCCGCGTACCAGCACGCTTCACCACACAGCTGGTGGACAGCAGAACTGAAAGCCGCTTCAACAATGGCATGTAGAAACATCTTTCCGTCGCAAAACATCTCATCACGCACTCGTAACATAATGTCACAGAGCGTTCTGTTCGCATGGGGCGCGCCGTGCCCAACTACCGTACACTGAACACGCCTACAAACACCAAGCGCCACACACCACACTATCGCACGGCGTGCGGTGATGCGGTCATGCGATCGTGCGGCACTAATCGTGCGATCAAACTCACTAATCATGCGGCGGCGGCCACATTGCATAATGCAGGCCGCTGCCGACACGCTCCGGTGCTGGCGGCAACAATGACAGTCTGTTCATCCGAGACACCGTCTCCACTGCGGGACACGTGGGACGTGCCGTGCGTTCCGCTGGCTGGTCAGCAAACTGGGCGGCGCAGGGCACAAAAGGCGGGCCCAATATTTGTCCAACGAGCCACCGCGGGCTGTGACGTACATCACCGCTTTGCCAAGCATGACTGCACTTCGCACATATAATTATCTCGCAAAGGCAAGGCAACGCTTCAGGAGCGAGACACTGTAATAACTAATGGGACGCGTAGAGTGCCGTCTAAAAATGACGCACCCGTATAAAGTAGCTCTGTTCTAGACGTTCAATTGTCTCCGCTTGAGTCCCCGCCACCAACTCTCGTTTTGTCACATCCGTAGTGTCTTAGACAGGTACGCATTTGAGCGAACAATGGCTTCACAAGACGACGCTGCTAACAAGGGCACCGCCCGCCGCCATGACTGAAGGCAAAAGTTCTGCTTTATTCCTAGCACTGACGACCAATTCAACACAACATTCAAAGTTTTGTAAAAGTTCTACTTTACTTGTGCTTTACAAACTGTGACGACATCACGCGACCATGTCTAAGCCATCGACACCCTGCACAGTACGTTATTCACCGCTAGAATCAAAATCGTGGAAAGACGTTGTCAAAGTCACCGTGAGCCGTTCCTACCCAATTTCACGCGTTCTCCTTCCTTGTGGATACAATGCGCAGACAGCACCCACCCAACGCGAGACCCGCCGCCAACATGAGGCAGCGCGCCGCACCGGGCCCCGCAGGTCGTCCGGCCGTGGTTCCGGCCGGGCGGCCGCCGGTCGGCTGATGCCACCACGCTCTCGCCGCGCACGGATGAGACCAGCCCACCAGCTATTCTGCACAGCTCAAGCGCCGCCAAAACACGTTGCGAAACCGGCGCGCAGCATGGCGCAATCCTCCCACCGCCGGTGCGGGGTTTGGTAGGGGACGGGCGCAGCCCCCCCCCCCCCCCCCCTCTGCGGTTCCCTGGCTGCACGCATTGCCGCCAGAGGCAGGGGCGAGGCCAGGACACGGACAGAGGGAGGCTCTACACGGCCGAGGAATGCACAGCAAGTTTACTTGGTACAGAAACACACACGCACGCACGCACGCACGCACGCACGCACGCACGCACGCACGCACGCACACACACACACACACACACACACACACACACACACACACACACACACACACACACACACACACACACACACACACACACACACACACACACACACACACACACACACACACACACACACACACACACACACCTGAGGCGGTAGATGGCCGCCGACTTTTGGAGCTTGCGGCATTGGCGTGTGAAGGAAAAAGCCCGCTGCAACGTCCCCTTATGACCTTAATTACCAAGTACCGTTCGCGCTCGCAGCACAAATAGAATCATGCCGCGCAGAAAAGATTCTGACAATGGCTTCCTTTATCAGAATAATGCTAACTTGCATAATTTCGTCCAGGGCCTACCAGCTGACCTCGTTCACGATGTAGTAACCGTGGATAATTGCGCCTTCTCCAACGTAATGGGTCCGGGCAAAAAAAAACTGTTTTTCTTGTAAAACTGTGCACTGTGATTACAGCTTTTTAAGCCTAAAAATCTCGAACAAACGAAATATCGTCACTTTCACGCTGACATCAATAACAGAACATCCATCATTGCACTGTTCAGTTTATTGTGTTAAGGCTGATTAATGCTTTTCAATGGGCTCACACATACCTCATTTGAAAGGTACAAATGCGTCTCTGATGGCAAAGTAAGCTACCAGAAAGACAGAAAAAAAAACAGATCGTTGCCCGCGCAAAGGCACGCAACTGCGTGTTGTGCGCTTTCCAATAACATCCTTTAATTTCTCCAAAAAATCTATAGTGGCTTGGCCATCAACTCGCCACTAAAAAGACTCGGTCCTTAACTAATACCCTAATTCACTGCCCTGATTGTGATTCACAAGCCGTTTGCCTTTCTTGTTAACAATGAATGCTCGAGCTAAGGAAACTAGCACACTTTCGAAAACGCCTCCGGCATACCCGATCC